GGGGGCAGAAAGAAATTTGCCCGACTTTTTCGGATTGTGCCCGACTAGTGCCGAAAAAAATTTTTTTTGGTGACCTCCCCCCCCCCACCCCCCACCCCCCCCCGTCGCCAAAAAAATTTCGTTCAGTGTACCATTTTAGGGGTCAAAAAAATTTTCCGGACATACCAAAATTTTTCGAAACCTCATACAAACTTTCACAAAAATCGAAAAATTAACATATTTCCAAAAAATTTTACTGAATTTTTCCCATTTATTTTTATAATAACCAAATACTGCCCGACTGTGAAGCGAAGATTGCCCAACTGGCTTTGTTTGCCCAACAAACTGGGGTTATTATTAAGAGAGATTTTCTTGTTTTGACTACTTTTTGCCCGACTTTTGCTGAACATTTGCCCGACTTTTCGACTTTCTAATCTTGTTGGGGGGGCAGCTGCCCCCCCCTGCCCCCCCGCCCCGTATGCCTATGCTTGCTTAGCCTGCTAGCTATGCCAGGCTATTTATTTGGGCTATTTACAACCTCGTTCCCAGGGAAGAGCCTGGGAACGAGATTGGGCTATTTACTGGTTTGATATTTAACTTTCAGATGGTAGACTGTTCTCATGGGGTGATAATTCTCATGGTCAGCTGGGTATTGGTAGGATAGCTCAGCCTCCATCACCAGGCACTCCTTATTTGGTCAAAACTCTACTCGGCATCCCATTGGTCGAGATATCTGCGGGCGGATATCATAGCATGGCGTTGACCTTATCTGGAGCTGTCATTGGCTGGGGGAAAAACAGGTTAGAACTGGAAATGAACGTCATTGGCAGGGACAGTATTGCTATCTATAAAAAGCACCTTGAAGTCAAATTTGAAGGCAAATGATAAGAACGTACACGTAAAAATGCATAAGTTAATTGTTACAGATCTTCAAACAATGGACCTTTCCCCTTATAACGTTAACTAAAATTTTGATCTAGACAAGAATTTCATCACAGCTTGAAAGAGCATCACAAAATTAGTAATATTCCAAAGTTTTGTTGCGAAATGTTGTAAACCTGCGAATAATATAGCCTTGCGAAGTTTGCCATTTTTCAGTGATGAATTTTGTATTACGCATGGGAAATTGACAGCCCAATCGGGTGTTGGGGCATCAATTTCCCGTTTGTAATACAAAATGACTGAAAATTGCAAATTTTGCAGGGCTATATTATCCGCATTTTACAACATTTCACAACGTAAACTTTGGAATATTACTAATTTTGTGATGCTCTTTCAAGCTGTGATGAAATTTTTGTCTAGATCAAAATTTTAGTTACAAGGGGAAAGGTCCATTGTTCCTAGTTGTTGTGACAAGTCTGGAATAAGTTGTTATCACCTTGTTACGAGGTTGATGACAGTAACAGACTTGGTACAAGTTGTTCTAACAAGACAGGTAGCTCTTCGTAACACGTAGTGACTACGTTGTTATAACTGCAGATTATATCAGACCTGTTGGAACAACTTATTGCGAGTCTGTTGGCCTCATCAACCTTGTTACAAGGTGATAACAACTTGTTCCAGACCAGGCCTTAAAATATCGGTCGGTCACGGTCATTGTCCGACCCATTCGTGAAATTGTCCGACGTAGAGAGGAAACCACCGGACATTCTGTCCGACCAAAGTGAAACTAAGGTTTATTTTTTGTCCGACCCAAGTGAATTGGTGTTTGACCGAACTGTAGCTTTGTCCGACGTAAATCAAAATGTACCCTAGCCCAGGACTAGAGGCTTGTATGTTAAACGGAAAATCAGAGTACTAATGTATAAAAGGTGAACTGAAAATGTTGTTTTAACGTAGTCGAGCGCGGGGCGACGAGCGAAATGGTGAAGTGGAAAACGGGCTTAAGTTGTCGAAGTCTTTTTTAACACTGCTGTTCTGGCAAGCAAGTTAATTTTGGCTTGGAAATAAGTATGAAAGAAACAAATTATCTAATATCTTTACAACATTTACCGTTTATTCATTTGTGTCATTCAGACTTATTTCCGAGTCAAAACTGAACTGAAGGTCATCGGACATATGTCCGACCCAAACTCAACGTCATCGTACATTTTGTCAGACGGCCCAGTAAAAGATATTTTAAGGCCTGCAGACTGGTTGACAACTGCGAACAAGCAGTGCGAACACATCTTGTTGACATTTTTATCTGTTCATTTCACTTTACAGTTTTGGTCAACTTGGATTGGAAAATGGCACAGGTATACAGTTTATGTAAAAGTTTTACTCTATGGTTTAGTTTTCATTTTCATGCCTCAGTATACCACAATATCCCTTTCAATACATTCTTTCTAGACCAGTGGTTTCCAGTGCAGATTGAGTCAGTGAGATCACAGAGAGTACGACATATTGTTTGCGGTGAAGACCACACGGCGCTTTTAACCGAGGTAGGTCTAGGACCACGTGAACTTATCTCACCTGCCTAGTTGCCACTGTTCAGGCAATCTAGCCATGCATAGTATTAGCCATTCCGATGTTGATGAGAGGACTGGGAACGAGTGTTAAAAAGTGCCCAAATTAAGAAATGAACCAAATCACTAAAAAGACCACCTCAAAATTAGTAAGTATACAAAGTTTGAAGACGTTTACATGAATACCCTTCGAATAACAAGCTTTCGGAAATCGCGATATTTACTATGAAATGTATTGTAATTTGTGTTTTTGGGATGCGCGTCCCAAAAACAATCTTTTAATCAGTAATTTCACAATTTTCGAAAGCTTATTATTCGAAGGGTATTCATGTGAACGTCTTCAAACTTTGTATACTTACTAATTTTGAGGTGGTCTTTTTAGTGATGGGCACTTTTTAACATTCGTCCCCAGTCCACTCATCAACTTCGGAATGGCTGATTAGAATGGAACAAAGGGTTATTGATGTTAACATTTGTCGTATTTTATTTATCTATCAGGACGGAGGTGTTTTCACATTTGGCTCAGGGACAAACGGTCAGCTTGGTCATAATTCAAATTTTCCTCAATATCAACCTCGCAAGGTACGTTCTACAACGTCAGGTAATGGAATTATAGAACTCGTAGTATTTATACATCTGGCCAGTGGCCACTACCCCATCTTCACATTTTGAATATCGTTTAGGTGCTTGAATTGATGGGTACACTAATTACGCAGTTAGATTGCGGACGGTGAGTCACCTTCGGACGTACTACTATATGGTGGTTTTGACATCAAAAGGATAGCAATTACAGTACCTAAGGCCTGTTTTATACGTCGAATTTCAGTCACGCCGAATGCAATTCAAACAATAGATAATGAAGCTTAGTAAGGTTTATCATCTCATTATTGTCTTTGCGACCAAAATTCGACGTATAAAACAAGCCTAATACAGGGTGTCTAAAAAAAGCGAACCTTGTTGTAAACACCCAAACTTCATTACCTCTGGGAGTTTAGAATGCATTGTAATCTTACGAGCATATTAAAACTCCATAAATTGTTCATGAAAATTCTAATTGAAAGTTAAAACGATTTAGAAATTAATGCCGTCAGTCCCCCCATTGAAAAAGGTGAGGTCTAGGTCTAACTTCCAGCTGTAATTCCAGTACCATGTATTAGACAGATTTAGATCGAGGACGCGGACGTCAAAGTCGACGTAAAAATGGCGTGGCATATCCATACATGGGCACGACACGCCATTTTCACGTCGTCTTTGACGTCTGCGTCCTCGATCTAAATCTGTCTATTGTCTTGCAGTCGACATACGGTAGCATTTGCGCCCCAGCTGGGTCGTGTTTACACATTTGGCCTTGGAGCGTATGGTCAACTGGGGTGTGGTGAAACGATGAGTTGCAGCAGTCCTGTGGTTGCTAAGGGACCGTGGATGACGTCATCGTCAACGTCATTTGGCAACAAAACATCGGTGATGAAGATCGTTGCCGGTGGAGACCACTGTTTTGTATTGTCTGCCAAGGCTGGTGTAAGTTGTCTCATCAGAGTGCGATAATTCAACATTGTTAGTCGTACCTGGCTGGTATTCCAATGATTATTGCGGCGTACTTGAGCTATTACAAGCTTAGGCCTGTTTTATACGTCGAATTTCGGTTGCGTCGAATGCAATTCAAACAATAGATAATGAAGCTTAATGAGATTTATCATCTCATTATCTATTGTCTTAATTATATTCGACGCGACCGAAATTCGACGTATAAAACAGGCCTTAAGATCCAAGGCGTACTTAGCTTTTAAAATGAATTACATAATGTACAGGTTTCTGAAAGGTATTCATTCCGTAATCTGAAACTAGTAGTTAGATAGACAAACACTACGATCGACTCTAACATTCCTATAGTCCCATCTCATCATAATGATATCAGTCAGGGTCATGCTAGACTTGCACATATTCTTGGAAAGGTTAAATGGTACCAGCAAAAAGTTAAGTACGCAGATAGCAAGAGTTCCGCGTACCTACGTGGTACGTGGCTGAAAACAAAGAAGTACCGTACCAGACCGTAATATTGGTGTACCTCCGGCACGTAAGTACGCGAATTATCGCACCCTGAGAGTCCCATACCACCAAAGGCCCATTTCCACTCAAGAAAATTTCCGAAAATATCATTGTTAAAAGTTGAAAATTTTCAACTTCAAATTTTTTTTCCGACGGAAAATTTCTGTCGGCCAATCACATTTTACAAAATTTTCTTTCTGCGGAAAATTTTCCTGAGTGGCAATGGACCTTAACCGTGCACGGTTCTTTCCCTGATCAAGATGGTAGGTTCGATTCTTGTATATTAGGCAAAATGGTAAATGATGGGAAGCATTGTTTTTTTGTAGTCCTTGGTCGAGGCAGTGGATATGCGTGACATCAATCACGGTTTGACCGTCATACACAGTGCCATCGTGGATGATGTTGAACATAAAATCAGAAGTAATACTGTCACTCCTGAACTTATGAGGTTGGTAAATCTACTTTATACAGTACAGTAACTGAAGTAGCTAATGTGCCTGTTAAACTAACTACCTTACCTAAGCTAACTATGTCCGATAACCTGATTTCTTCTAGCAAATGTTTATTTCCTTTTCTCTAGAAAACTCGAGGCAGTGTTTACGAGTCAACAATGTTTAAACGGCTGTTTCTTTAACACGTGAGCTTAATTCTTCAACTGTGTAATTGTATATCTAGCGCCCGTATTCTAAAAGCTCGCACTCAATGAGTGGAGGTTCAATCTGAGCTTCTCTTGAGTGTCAGTGGTGTTTTTGAATAGCTGGAGGGTGAGTAGTCACATAGTAAGGTACGACACTAACCCTCCAGCTATTCAAAAACAGCATTGACACTCAAGGAAAGCTCAGATTGGACTTCCACTCTTTGAGTGTGAGCTTTTAAAATACGGGCGTAGGACTCGAACAAATTTGATCTGTATCTAATGTCACTAATATCTTTCACTGATTGATGAAGTCACTTTATTTTTATACCAAAAATTTAGGAGGAAAAATTTGGTCACAGACATTCACAATCATGCGGTTGACCTGAGCGCCGTGAGAAGATTTTTCCAAGCCTTAGCAAGGCACCCTCAAATAAATGAAATTGTAAGTTATAAGAAAAATACGCCACCATCCTATTCTGGCCCGTGGGGGCGGGAGGTTTGAGCGACTAAGACTCCCCCTATTTGTTCATGAGTAATTTCAGCTAAATTTAGAGGTGATTTGAGCTGACTTTCACTAATTTTCAAACAATTGTCGCTTGCGTGTATTCATTCATATACTAAAGTAGATTAAAAAAACTCATTGATAATTAATGACGAAAACACAAAGAAAATTCATAAGAGTGTCGTATCTTTATACGTGATAGAGATTTCCCTTGATTTACATAAACTTTAACTTTCATTTTCTCGACTTACTCAACGTATTTTTTGAAAATTACTTCGCCAATGAACTTACTAGATCGATCGTTTTTGAAGCAATTTAAAACATTCGCTGTGCGTGTTTTATCAGACCTAAAGATACTTCGACTTCGCCTCGTATCTTTATATCTGATAAAACACTGCTGCTTATGTTTTAAATAGTACTTCTAACAATGTTTGCAAGCTCCCCAGGTGTGGATATACACTCAGAGTAACATCACAAACATCATATTCACCTGAGTACACAACACCAACACAGAAAAAATCAGTGTTTGCAGGCTCACAAAATTTATACAGTATATTATTCAAGACCTCAAATTCGTATTGTATGTATTTGCAGGTTTTAAACGGTCTCGAGAGACATCTAATACCTTCGCTTCACGAATCGCCTCTGGATATCGACAGTTTAAGACTGTACGTCATATTACCCGAGTATGAAATGTTCACAGCTGCCGAGAGATATAAGACACTCGCTGTACCATTGGCTAAGAAATTGCTGTCTTTACATGCGGACCATCAGTCGATTATCGGTCAGTATAAAGGCCAGTTTACACTTGCAAATTTTGCTGCGATTTTCGCCTTCTGATGAATGTGAACGAGCGGATGAGTTATGAGTGTGCAGTTGAGGGTAGGGCCACAGAATAGGAAGTTATACCAGAAGCGTAACTCGAGCAAATATTTGTCCGCGTTTTTATAAGCGATTCGTCATCAATCACGCCATCCTGGCTAGTACAACCGGCACTTTGTACCTACCAAATCTTGATAAAAACTTCCGGCTGTACTAGCCAGGATGGCGTGGCCTGACGTGAGCGAGTTAAAATTTTCGTGGACGTCAAACAATAAGGGAAACGACTAGAGTTACGCTTCTGGTATAACTTCCTATTCTGTGGTAGGGCAGTGAACTCTAAGGGAACTGGAACGATAACTTGGCGGCCATCTTTGAAGCCAAATTGAAGGCCGCCATGTACGTATGGAGTGGAAAATACGCCACCAAAAAGATGTCTGTTTTCGACCACTAAATAGCTGTATTTCAACAAGGAAAAAAGCTAAAAACTTTCAACTATACCTGAAATTTAATACAAAACATGTTTCCAGAACGTAGAGCAGTTATAAAGTTCTTTTTTCAGGAGTCAAAGTGCGAAGTTTTTTTCGGCACGTTCAAACTTGTGTAATATTTTGAATATCAAGCTGTTACCCAGGACGTTTTTGTTGTTAGTGGATGTAAAATACTTAGAACTATCCAGGAAACCAGGTTTGAATCTTTAAAGTTGAAGCCTTTTGATAAAAAGTACTTTTTCTCGCTGATTTTCGCTCAAAAACAAACTTTTGACTGAATTTCCCGCTCCTCGAAACTCTCCCCAGTCCTTTTGAAAGTTAATTTATTGCCAGCCTAGTGATTTATTGCTGGCCGTGCTCGCGAGAAGCGCCATTTTGGCTTCAGGCAAGTATGGGCATGTTTATCTGCAGTTAGCGTTCCAGTGTTATTACAGTTCACTGGGGTAGGGTCGTGGCTAAAGGGGATGGACTAGAGACAGGTTTTCAAGATGGCCGCCAGTTTTTAAGATCATTTAAAACGTAAAAAAATCGACAGCCAGCCACTTGCAACAATACTAAACCTCACCCCACACCAAACCCTAATCCTAACCCCCAACACTAATACTAACGCAAACTGTTATTTCAATTTTGGAACCATTTCGTAAACTACCTTTTAACAGGGTTCGTAGCGGTCTTTGAAATCCCTGAAAATCTTTAAATTTGAATGCAGGTCTTTAAGGTCTTTGGAAAGCCTTTCAATTGTGTGAAAAAGCGAAGAAAGTCTTTAAAAGTCTTTAAATTCTTTAGTGAGTATTTGATTATACGATTTCCTAGCTAATGAAATAGATTGATTGAAGCAAGATTTTCGCAGATATGGACGAAAAAGTGCGTTTTAGGATGTGATTTGACGGGACTAATTACCTGGTAAAAATGGTGCTTATTCATCGCAATTTTTCGACAGCTGATTTCTCTCAAAGGTCTTTGAAAAGTCTTTGAAAATAGGCAGAAAAAATTTTTGCTTACTCGCAAAATTTATTTGTTAATATAGGTAATTGGTGGGCGAAGCTGCCATCAACTTATATCGAGAGAATAATCAAGGTATCTTTCATCATTGACACACGATTATTTGAACTGGGCCTGTGCGAATGATCCATATTACTGAGACTGCGAAGCATGGGAGATCGATGGAGAGATTTCTACTAATCTCAAAAAATGTTGGTATTTTAGATTTTTCAAGAATGTGTAAAATTTATACTGGAACAGAAAATAAATCAACATGATAACCAGGAGGTATTAATGTTTTGTTTTGTTTTGTTTTGTTTTGTTTTGTTTTGTTTGGTTTGGTTTGGTTTGATTTGGTTTGGTTTTTTTTTGTGAGTTGTGTATACCTTTGCACTTTAAGCACTTGTTGACATCGCATCTGTACTGCAATTTAGTTCATTCATTACTCCTTCTCTTGTTTTATTCGTTTCTGTTCCATTTATTCTGTCCTTCTTTCTTTCTTCCTCCATACAAAAATTTTGTTGCTGGAACTTGGAAATTTACTAGAACCAAAGGGTCCTATGCCCGCCAGTTCTGTTACGTCTTTCCTACGTTATGTTTATGCTATTTGTCTTAATCATAGTTCGCAGTGCGAGAAGAATGTCTCAGATGTAGCCTGGAAGTTTTAAATGGCGTTCACAAGGTAAAGAAAACATCTGTCGAATTAAATGAGGTGACATAGTAACCAAGGTTAATATCATAGGAACCGCGCGCAGTCTGGGTACGACATGTGCCCTCGGGATATCGGATATAGAGAGTGCCAAGCAGACTCTCAGGTCATTAGCTAACTCATAGCCCACTTGCAGTAGTAATCTACTTAGAGAAGAAGCCAAATTTTTTTTGACGACAATGGACCATTTGCATTATAGACTAAATTTTGATCTAAACAAGTCTAGACAAAAGTTTCATCACAGCTTGAAAGAGCATCACAAAATTAGTAATATTCCAAAGTTTCGTTGCGAAATGTTGTAAAATGCGGATAATATAGCCTTGCGAAATTTGCAATTTTCAGTCAATTTGTATTACAAACGGGAAATTGATGCCCCAACACCCGATTGGGCTGTCAATTTTCCGTGCGTAATACAAAATGACTGAAAAACGGCAAATTTCGCAGGGCTATATTATCCGCATTTTACAACATTTCGCAACGAAACTTTGGAATATTACTAATTTTGTGATGCTCTTTCAAGCTGTGATGAAATTTTTGTCTAGATCAAAATTTAGTCTATAATGCAAATGGTCCATTGACTTTCGGTTTAATTTCCACCGAGCACTTAGTTCGGTGTGATAAGGTGCAGATGTTCGGTGGTCAGGTCCTGAATGGACAGCTTCACGTGATTCGGACCTGAATCCAAGTAACTCAAATCCCTAGATCATTAGCTGACCACGTCTATGGTAACGACAGTCAAATTAATTTATTGACTCGTTTCACTTCAATTATCCTCTGGGTATGAGCACAACTATACATCTGCCTTTCTCGCCCAAATGTTCTCATATTCAACTTTACTTTTCTCCACATTCAGGTTAACAAGCGTGCAGAGAATGCTGTGCCGTATCCTGTGTTTTATATCCCAGAGTTGACGGACTGTCTTGAGCTCAGGAGTGATTATTTACGTTGGATCGACCATGAGGTATGCATTCGTTATGTCAGAAACAAAAACAGACAAATATATTTTAGACTGCACACGTAAAAATCTCACAACTTGTCAACAAAATGTGTTCGCAACAGACTTGTTGCAAGCTTGGCAACAAGTTGTAACAATGCTGTTATTTTATCAAGTTGCTACAAGGTTGTCACTCACAACTTGTCAACAAGATGTGTTCACAACAGGCTTGTAGCAAGCTTGTCAACAAGTTGTAACAAA